CCCCCATAGGCAAAGTGGGGGAGAACAAGAGGTCACAAGACCAGTCAAGCAAAGCAAAGCAAGTTCAGGGTGGATCACAACGTCACCACACATTCCGAGCACAAGTTCAAGGCCACAAGGATAGTTCACATGCAAGATCATATATAAAGGTAAACAAGCAAGAACAGGTATAGAAAGATCACAGTACAAGCAAGGTCAAGAAGTGAGCAAGTGAGGCCAAGTAGGCACAAGACCTAGCATCGTACAGAAGCGCTGATGATCACAAGGCGGAAGTGCCTTGGTAAAGATATCAGCAGTGTTGGCCTCAGAGGCCACGTAAGCAAGGCGCAGCTGACCACGCTGCTGCAGCTCACGAGCAAGGAAGTAGCGAAGAGCAATGTGCTTCGTTCTGTGCTCCAGTCTGTGCTCCCAACACAAGGCCAACATGGCCTTGTTGTCTACGTACAGAACTGGAGGAGAACGAGGCGGCTCTCCTAGGTCACTCAGCAGGTAGGTGAGCCAGCGTAGCTCGTGTGCAGCCATGGCCCCGCGTAGATCTCAGCCTCACAGCTGGAGCCGAGAACAGAAGACGAGCGAGTAGACCGCCATGAAACAGAGCCGGAACCAAGGCTGAAGGTGTAACCCTATGACGACCGCTGCGTAGCCTGGTCGTCAGCCCAAGAAGCGTCTGCGTGACCTGTGAGGACCACTGAACGTCGCCCTCCAAGCACTAGCCCCATGCCCGACGTACTGCACAAGTAGCGCAACACCCTCTTCGCTGCAGCCATGTGCTCTGGTCGGTGTCTCCCAGGAGCAACATAGCGTGCCAAGATGCTAAGAGGGTATGCAAGGTCAGGTCGTAAGCAGGTCATCAGGTACATGAGGCAGCCAATAAGCTCTGGGTACGGGCCACTCGGCTCTACGGACTCATCCGAAGGCAGAGCTGAGAGCGAGTGGCGAGTAGACAGAGGAGTGGCCTGAGGCGAGGAGTACGTGAAGTCGAAGTGCTGAAGGACGTGCTGCACCATGTGTGACTGAGTCAGGGTAATGGTGCGCTGTGCTCTGTCCCGGGTGATCTGCAAGCCAAGGTAGCTGCGCAGTTCACCCAAGTCTATGCACGTGTGTCTCTTCTGCAGCTCGAACTTCACGTGGGCGAGTCGAGCAGTGTCAGCAGTGGCAAAGACTAAGTCGTCGACGTACACGAGGATGTAGAACGGCGGCAATGAGGTGTCGGTGCGCAGAAACAGCGACGGGTTGGCAGTAGTAGGAGCAAACCCAAGAGCCGCAAGTGTAGTCCTCAGTGTGTCGTGCCACTCACGGGGCGCCTGGCGGAGACCATAGACTTGCCGTTGGAGGCTCCACTGGGTACCAAGGGGAAACGACCCAGTGAAGCCAGGTGGGCGGCACAGCCAGATCTCCTCGTGCAGGCTGCCCTGCAGGAAAGCTGTGCTGAAGTCAAGAGAGTGAAGCTTGTAGTCGTGTTGAGCGGCTATGTGCAGCAGCACCCGAAGAGTGGTCATCTTCGGGGTGGGAGAGAAGGTCTGAAAGTAGTCAACTCCCTGCCGCTGACTGAAGCCTCGAGCCACGTAACGCGCCTTGAAGACAGGCGGAGAACCCGGCGGCCGCTTCACCCTGAAAATCCACATGCCACTGATGATGTTCGCCCCAGGTGGGGGAACCTCGTCAACGTAGGTGCCTGTGGACTTCCATGAAGCCATCTCTGTGTCCATGGCTGACTGCCACTATGAGGAGTAGGGACCCTCGATCGCCTCAGCGTACGATCGAGGAGTCGGGATGTCTGGTGCATCCGGGTCTCCCTCAGGGGCAATCAGCGTGGAAACGAGATGAGGCAAAGCAGCAGCAAAACACTGGAACTCCTCCTGCCTATCCTCAAGGACGTCCGTGCTAAGAGCGCACTCACCCCCGACGGACGGAGGACAGACAGACTCAAACTCAGCAACAAGACTAGCGGCGTAGTCTAGACGACAGCGAGCAGCAAAGTCGACAAGCTCAGCAACCAAGGCAGACGCAGCAGTGGACTCAAAGGAATGGTCAGTGACAACAGTAGCCAGGAGACGCGTGATAGTAGGACTGGCAGCACGAAGAGAGACAGACTCCGGTTCAGCAAGAACAGGAAGAGAGGACTCTGGAGGAGACGGCAACGGGACACGCAGAGGAGCAGTGGAAGGACGCAGTGCCATCTGGTGTGTGCCGGGGACCGCAGGAGGACGCGGACGCGGAGCACGACTACTAGTGCGAGCACCACAAACAGGCGACGCAGGACGAGACGCAGGCTCACGACGCTCCGCAAGACCTCCAGTAGGACCAGTGTAGGGAGAAGGAGCAGGTAAGGGGGAGGCGGGCTGTAACTGTGACTGCGACTGGACAGGTTGTCGACACTCTAAGGGAGGAGCAGGACCAGTAGAAGGCGGGAGACCCAACCTGCTCAAGGAGCGGAACAAAGTACGGCCGCGGCCGCGCAGAACAAAAAAGTCCAAGCTGAAACTCTCTCTGAGCTGGAGAAGAGCTGCTCGGATCCAGTCGATCAACACCTCAGTGACGTCACCCTTGCTACGCAAGGGGAACACCGTGGTGTAACGCGAGTAGTCGTCAACCACCAAAAGGAAGTCACGCTTGTGACCCTGGCCACGGACGCGGGCGGGGCCCCACACGTCCATGTGAAGAGTCTGCAGCGGAGCCTCTATCGGAGGAAACTCGGAGGAGTGAGGGGCAGCGCGCTGCCGCCCCTCGACGTAGGGAACGCAGGTAGGGGCAGGCCCCGGAGGGAGGGGAGGGAGGGACCGGGGGAGACCAGAGACAAGGACACGGGAGGCCATGCCTCGGAGACGAGGATGGGAGGGGTGACCAAGGCGGTGGTGCCAGAGGAGAGTCTGGTGGGATAGGAGACGAAACGAGCAGGGAGCAGACTCAGGACTTGACCTGGACGCTGCAGCAAACACCTGACTCGATGCAGCTACCTGACCAGACTCAGCAACCGGAGGAGACTCAGTAGTCAGTGTGTACAAGCTCGACCCCGGCTGACGGGTAAACGTGGCCAAGTGTCGGCCCGTCCGAGCACACGTACAGTGGGTCACCCGCTGACTCGCGGGAGTGAACTGGTCAACCCCCCCATCCTGTAGATCAGCACCACTCACCAAGTTCGTAGAGAACGAGGGGAGGTAGAGACCGGACAGGGTACCAGAGGGGGCTGCCGGACACGGTAAGACAGTGGAGAAGTGGGCAAGGACAGGACCCCCAGAGGGGTCCGCCAAGGAGACCCCAACCGGCCGACTAAGCGGCGTAAGCGTGGTGCGGTCTCGAAAGAAGGAGCGGGAAGCACCCGAGTCAAGGGTGAAGGTGTGTAAGGCCTGAGCCGACGTGGTACTTGAGAGAGCAGACTCACCAGCACCTGGGGCAGCAGATGCACTAGCACCTAGAGCAGCAGCCTCACCAGCACCTAGAGCAGCAGCCTCAATGCCCGAGTCAGGCGGAACACACAGGTAATAGTCACCCTCATCACTAGTAGACACAACATACATGGCAGCAAGAATAGCATCATAATCCAGATCAAAGATAGCAACCCCCGACCTAAGCAGCTCGCCCCAGCGGGGGATCTCAGTGGCGTCAGGGAACTGGTGACGCCAAGCGTTCGTCAGGCGGCCGAAGCACCGCTGGGTGGTGTGCGGGCCACCGCACGGCTAACCAGTGCGGTCGCCGGTACGCAGGACGTAGGCACAAGGACAAGCACCCCCACCCCGCTGACGCCCAGAGTACCACTCACGAAGCTGCTGGGGGGGCGGGGTCTCACGAGTGCACTGCTGCTGCTGGCGCTGACCACCACCGAAGCCGCCCCGCTGCGCAGAGCCACCCCGACTAGCTCCACCTCCTCCGCCGCCACCTCCGTCATCGCCACCACTGCCTCCTCCTCCGCTCCCACCGCCACCGCCGCCGCCGCATCCGCCTCCACCGCCGCCACCGAAGCCCCCACCCCCGCCACCACTCCCACCACCACTCCCACTCCCTCCGCCTCCTCCACCGCCACCTCCACCGCCCCCGCCAGCCCCTCCAGCGCCCTTGCCCCCCTTGCCCTTGCCGTTGCGGCGTCGCCCGCTAGGGGCAGACGCAGCGCCGACCGACTCGGTGCCAACGAAGTCGACGGCAGCAGCAGAGGCAACAGAGGGCAAAAGGGGAGAGGGGGAGCACCCCTCAAAGACGAGAGCACGAGGGTCACCACAAGAGGCTCCTACAGCGACTATACTCTTCTCAGCTGCCAGGAGGCGCTCCTCAAGGAGGTCAACAGTGAGTGTGGTGGGGCAAACAGAGAGGAAGTAGTCCCTGACCAAGCGAAGGGAGTCAGGGAGCCGGGTGACTATGTAGTAGAGGGTGATGTACATGGGGGGGGGGGGAGTTCTTGGCGCAGAACTCAGCAATAAGCGCAGCGCGGTAGCGGGTGTCACTAGTGCGAAGGTGCGTAACAAGGTCAGCGACAGTGGGAAAGGCGGCGAGGTCAGGAAACAAGTACGGCAGCATGAGGCGGCTAAGGGCAGCAGTGGCAGGGGAAGAGTAGCGTGCAACTACAGCATCGTACAAGGTCTTAGCACTCTTGTACTGACTAAAGTGCGCGCGCTCAGTGGACGGCAAGTGACTATGCACAGCAAGACGGGCAGCAGCATCGCGTGTGGCCCACTGTGAGCAAACAGTGCTGTCACCATCGGCAGCAAGGGCAATAGAGGCGCCAGACGTGAGATCGAACAGGGAGAGATCGTCCTTCCTATCGCACTGTAGGAAAAGCTGTAGATCATCGACCCAGACCTCAAAGTCAACAGTCCGACCCTCAGCATCAAAGACTAGAACACTAGGGGTAGCCATGACAGCAGTGGCAGCAGGCTAGGGGCAGCAGTAGCAGGCGTGGCTCGGCAGTGCTATCACCAGGGCTGGTAGGTAGGGGCCGGCAAGTGGTGGGGCAGGGCCGAGGCGCGTCGGCAGGGACAGAGCCGCGACCTCGGCGGCAGCTCCTGCTGTTAGTGGCGGCGGTAGTCGCTGCTGTCGGCGGCGAAGGCTGCTGCTGGTGGTGGCCGCCGCTGTTGTCGGCTGCTGCTGGCGGCGCAGGCGGCTCCTGCTGGCGGCGGCTGCTGCTGGTGGCGGGGAGCCGAGGAGGGGCCGGGAAGGTTGGCGTCGGGGCCACGAAGGGCAGCGACGGGGCCGAGAAGAGGTCGCGAGGGGCCATGAAGGGCGGCGACGGGGCCGCTAGGGGCGGGGACAGGGCCGCGAAGGGCGGCGACGGGGCCGATAGGGGCGGCGACGGGGCCGCGAAGGGCGGCGACGGGGCCGCTAGGGGCGGCGACGGGGCCGCGAAGGGCGGTGACGGGGCCGCTAGAGGCGGCGACGGGGCCGCGAAGGTAGGCGATGGGGCCGCTAGGGGCTGCGATGGGGCCGCGAAGGGGCCGCGAGAGGCCTCGAAGGGCGGCGACGGGGCCGCGAAGGACGGCGACGGGGCCGTAACGAGCGGCGACGGGGTCGCGAAGGGCGGCGACGGGGCCGCTAGGGGCGGCGACGGGGCCGCGAAGGGTGGCGACGGGGCCGCTAGGGGTGGCAACGGGGCCGCTAAGGGCGGCGACAAGGCCGCTAGGGGTGGCGCGAGGGGCCGTGAGAGGGGCCTCTAGAAAGGCGCGACGGGCCGCTAAGGGCAGGGGACGCGACGAGAGGGCGGCCCACGGGGCGCGCATTAGGCAGGGGCGACTCGCGCTCCGGTGAGAAAAAAAAATATTTTCGATTTTGAGTGGTGGGCCCTAGGAAGTGTTCCCACTAGGGAACCTGCTCTATACCATGTGAAGAAATGAGGAATGAATGAACTAGCAAGCAAGTGGGTACAAGTAGGAAAACCTAAAAGTGTTGTACCCCATATTGTCTACCCCACTACAGCCTATACAGATGTGAAGAATGAGGAATGAATGAACTAGCACAAGGTTGGGTACAAGTAGGAAACCCTAGGAAAGTGTACCCCATGGTGTCTACCCCACCATAGCCTACACAAGCTATATAATATGAGTTTGACACACCCCCATAGGCAAAGTGGGGGAGAAAAAGAGGTCACAAGACCAGTCAAGCAAAGCAAAGCAAGCTCAGGGTGGATCACAACGTCACCACACAATCCGAGAACAAGAGCAAGGCCAAAAGGCCAGTTCACATGCAAGATAATATATAAAGGTAAACAAGCAAGTGAGCAAGTGAGGCCAAGTAGGCACAAGACCTAACATCGTACAAAAGCGCTGATGATCACAAGGCGGAAGTGCCTTGGTAAAGATATAAGCACTGTTGGCCTCAGAGGCCACGTAAGCAAGGCGCAGCTGACCACGCTGCTGCAGCTCACGAGCAAGGAAGTAGCGAAGAGCAATGTGCTTCGTTCTGTGCTCCAGTCTGTGCTCCCGACACAAGGCCACCATGGCCTTGTTGTCTACGTACACAACTGGAGGAGAACGAGGCGGCTCTCCTTGGTCAGTCAGCACGTAGGTGAGCCAGCGTAGCTCCTGTGCAGCCATGGCCCCCGCATAGATCTCAGCCTCACAGCTGGAGCTGAGAACAGAAGACGAGCGGGTAGACCGCCACGAAACACAGCCGAAGCCAAGGCTGAAGGTGTAACCCTGTGACGACCGCTTCAGAGCCTGGTCGTCAGCCCAAGAAGCGTCAGCGTGACCTGCGAGGACCACTCGACGTCGCCCTCCAAGCACTAGCCCCATGCCCAACGTACTGCACAAGTAGCGCAACACCCTCTTCGCTGCAGCCATGTGCTCTGGTCGGTGTCTCCCAGGAGCAACATAGCGTGCCAAGATGCTAAGAGGGTATGCAAGGTCAGGTCGTGTGCAGGTCATCAGGTACATGCGGTAGCCAACAAGCTCGGGGTACGGGCCACTTGGCTCTACGGACTCATCCGAAGGCAGAGCTGAGAGCGAGTGGCGAGTAGATAGAGGAGTGGCCTGAGGCGAGGAGTACGTGAATTCGAAGCGCTGAAGGACCTGCTGCACCATGTGTGACTGGGTTAGGGTAATGGTGCGCTGTGCTCTGTCCCGGGTGATCTGCAAGCCAAGGTAGCTGCGTAGTTCACCCACGTCTGTGCACGTGTGTCTCTTCTGCAGCTCGGACGTCACGTGGGCGAGTCAAGCAGTGTCAGCAGTGGCAAAGACCAAGTCGTCGATGTACACAAGGATATAGAACGGCAGCAAAGAGGTGTCGGTGCGCAGAAACAGCTACAGGTCAGCTGTGGAAGGAGCAAACCCAAGAGCCGCAAGTGTAGTCCTTAGTGTGTCATGCCACTCACGGGGCGCCGGAGGCTCCACTGGGTACCAGGAGGAAACGACCCAGTGAAGCCAGGTGGTCGGCGCAGCCAGATCTCCTCGTGCAGGCTGCCCTACAGGAAAGCTGTGCTGAAGTCAAGAGAGTGAAGCTCGTAGTCGCGCTGAGCGGCTATGTGCAGCAGCACCCGAAGAGTGGTCATCTTCGGGGTGGGAGAGAAGGTCTGAAAGTAGTCAACTCCCTGCCGCTGACTGAAGCCTCGAGCCACGTAACGCGCCTTGAAGACAGGCGGAGAACCCGGCGGCCGCTTCACCCTGAAAATCCACATGCCACTGACGATGTTCGCCCCAGGTGGGGGAACCTCGTTGACGTAGGTGCTTATGGACTTCTAGGAAGCCATCTCTGTGTCCATGGCTGACTGCCACTGTGAGGAGTAGGGACCCTCGATCGCCTCAGCGTACGATCGAGGAGTCGGGATGTCTGGTGCATCCGGGTCTCCCTCAGGGGCAATCAGCGTGGACACGAGATTAGGCAAAGCAACAGCAAAACACTGGAACTCCTCCAGCCTGTCCTCAAGGACGTCCGTGCTAAGAGCACACTCACCCCCGACGGACGGAGGACAGACAGACTCAAACTCAGCAACAAGACTAGCAGCGTAGTCTAGACGACAGCGAGCCGCGAAGTAGACAAGCTCGGCAACTAGGGCAGACGCAGTAGTGGACTCAAAGGAATGGTCAGTGACAACAGTAGCCAGGAGACGCGTGGCAGCACGAAGAGAGTCAGACTCAGGGTCAGCAAGAAGAGAAAGAGAGGGCTCTGGAGGAGACCGCAACGGGACACGCAGAGGAGCAGTGGAAGGACGAAGTGCCATCTGGTGTGTGCCTGGGACCGCAGGAGGACGCGGACGCAAAGCACGACCACTAGTGCGAGCAGCTCGAACAGGCAACGCAGGACGAGACGCAGGCTCACGACGCTCAGCAAGACCTCCAGTAGGACCAGTGTCGGGAGAAGGAGCAGGTAGGGGGGAGGCGGGCTGGAACTGTGACAGCAACTGGACAGGCAGCGGACACTCTAAGGGAGGAGCAGGACCAATAGAGGGCAGGAGACCAAGAACCTGCTCAAGGAGCGGAACGAAGTACGGCCTGGGCTGCGCAGCGCCTCCCGAACCACTAAGGACAGCACCAGTACCCCCAGCGGCAGCACCAGCGCCAGCAGCACCTCCGCTCCAACAGCGCCAATTCCAGCACCCTCAGACGCACCAGGGCCAGAAGAAACACCAGTGCCAACACCCCTAGCAGCTCCAGCTGCACCAACTCCAGCAGGACCGGCAGCTCCAGTACCGTTAGCAGCACCCCCAGTCCCAGCAGCTCCAGTATCGCCCGTACGAGCACCTCCGGAACCAGCAGCAACAGTAGTACCTCCAGCTCCAGCAGCACGGCTCCTGCGTTGGGCAAACCACTCGCACAGCTCCTGTGGAGAGAGTGGCTCCCGCCTCGACGAAGCACCGCCGGCGGCCACACGAGCACAACCAGTGCCCCCAGGCTCCGCACCCCCAGTCTCCGCACCCACAGGCTCCGCACCCCCTGACTCAGCACCCCCATGCTCAGCACCTCCAGACTCAGCACCCCCAGGCTCAGCACCCCCAGACTCAGCACCCCCAGGCTCAGCACCCCCAGACCCGGCACCCGCAGGCTCAGCAGCTCTAACAGCACCAGATTCAACAGCTACCTCGACAGGCTCGACTGCGTCTACCTGGGACACACCTGACGGGGCAAGACCCTGAGGGGGGAGGGGGTCTACCGGGGGAGGACCTGGCGCAAGGAAGAGCGGGGGCGGTGTCAGAGTATTATAGCTGATGCATGTTTGTAGGCTATAGTGGGGTAGCACATGTGGGGTACAGCTTTCTAGGGTTGTATTTGTACCCAACTCTGACTTAGTCATTTCATTCTTGTTTTCCTTGCTTCACATGGTATAGAGCGGGTCCTGCCTTAGGACCGTTTTTTTAGGGCCCACCGAAGCGCGCCCCGAGGCGCGCCTTTTTTTTTAGCGACCCCTCGGGTCGCCTTTTCCCTCGCGGCCCCGCTGTCCCTCAGACGCGGCCCCGCCACCTCTCTTGATCGCGGCCCCGCCGCCTGCTTGACGCGGCCCCGCCGCCTCCCCTGACGCGGTCCCGCCGCCTCCCCTGACGCGGCCCCGCCGCCTCCCCTGACGCGGCCCCGCCGCCTCCCCTGACGCGGCCCCGCCTCTACTGCCGCGGCCCCGCCGCCGCCTCTGACGGCCCCGCCGCTGCACCCTACGGCCCGCCGCTGCACCCTACGGCCCGCCGCCTCTGACGGCCCCGCCGCTGCACCCTACGGCCCGCCGCTGCTCTTGCCGGCCCGCCGCCTCATCTGACGGCCCCGCCGCTGCTCCTGCCGGCCCGCTGCTGCTCCTGCCGGCCCGCCGCTGCACCTGCCAGCCCGCCGCTGCACCCAGCGGCCCGCCGCCTCTGACGGCCCCGCCGCTGCACCCTACGGCCCGCCGCTGCTCCTGCCGGCCCGCCGCCTCACCTGACGGCCCCGCCGCTGCTCCTGCCGGCCCGCCGCTGCTCCTGCCGGCCCGCCGCTGCACCTGCCGGCCCGCCGCTGCACCCAGCGGCCCGCCGCTTCACCTGACGGCCCCGCCGCTGCACCTGCCGGCCCGCCGCTGCACCCTACGGCCCGCCGCTGCACCCTACGGCCCGCCGCCTGCACCTGCCGGCCCGCCGCTGCACCTGCCGGCCCGCTGCTGCACCTGCCGCCCCGCCACTGCACCGGTCGACCCACCGCTGCACCTGACGGCCCCGCCCCTGCATCTCCCGGCCGAGCCGCCCCAGCAGCCGAACCGCCCGGGAGCCGAGCCGCCCAACGCCGAGCCGCCCGGGAGCCGAGCCGCCCTGCACCCGAGCCGCCCAGCCGCCGAGCCGTCCGGGAGCCGAGCCGCCCTGCGCCCCAGCCGCCCAGCCACCGAGCCGCCCGGGAGCCGAGCCGCTAACACCCGAGCTGCCCGGTCGCTGAGCCGCCTTTCTGCAGAGCTGCACGACCTGCCCTGCCTGGTGAGCACAGTCCCACTGACACTGCGAGCTCTTTCCCTACTGCTTGCACTGCGTCGCTGTCGTCGCCATGGCTACCCCTAGTGTCCTAGCTTTCGACGCTGAGGGTCGCGCCATTGATTTTGAGGTCTGGTTAGACGACCTGCAGCTGTTCTTACAGTGCGACAGGGCTGACGACCTTTCTCTCTTTGACCTCACCTCTAGCGCCTCTCCTGCTCCTGCTGCTGATGCTGATCCCTCTGTCCGCTCTCAGTGGGCCACCCGCGATGCTGCTGCACGTCTTGCTGTGCGTCGCCACCTCCCTACCTCTGAGCGTGCGCACTTTAGCCAGTACAAGAGTGCTCAGACCTTGTACGACGCTGTAGTTGCGCGCTACTCCTCCCCTGCCACTGCTGCACTGAGCCGTCTCATGCTTCCCTACCTCTTTCCTGACCTCTCTGCCTTTCCCACTGTTGCTGACCTCATTACGCACCTCCGCACTAGTGACACTCGCTACCGCGCCGCCCTTCCTGCTGAGTTCTGCGCTAAGAACCCCCCCCCCAT